CAGCAGATCGCAACTTGAAATGTGAAACAGATATTTGTTTTTCATTTTAAACATAGGATTTAATTGAAAGGACATCAGGAGCATAATTGTATATTTAACAAGCTGGTTTTTTTATACATTTTCTTTCAGTGTCTCAGAACTTATACAACAATATAGACTTGGTTCTCTCAAGCATGTTGTGACGTTTTAATGAAAACAAAAGAAAAATATTTATGCTTATCTTGTTTCATAAGTGCTGAGAAGGTTGTCCTTACCATTGGAGTTCATATGGATGTACTCACACCTTCTTCATCTTGTATGTGCATATGCTAAATTATATGTAGTCCACTAAGGGGGACCCTCACAAGACTTTCATTACATTATGACTTGATAGTCCTGAAAGAAAAATAACATATATGTGAATTTGTTATTAGAAGGAATGCTCTCTTGATGATTATTTATCCTTCAGCCTTCTCTGACTTTTATTAGGGGCTCTGATTTTTCAATTGCATCTTATCTCCCTAGACCATCCCCCTTCCTTCCATACTTTTTGTAGTAAATAGATAGCCAAGAGTGCAAGCAGGAGTGTCTCTGGGAAGAAAGGTAACTGGTTTGTGGAAGAAACAGGAAGGTATAGGCTGGATTGGTGCTGAAATCTCACCAAGACGTTGCCTTAAGGACAGATATCCAACCATCTGTTTGTGCTTTTCCAAAATCTAAAGTTAAATATAAGAAGAGGGCTAGAAACCTAACTGATCAACTTGAATAGTTTTCAGATTTTAAAACAGCATAGTATTCCTTTATATACAGAAAGTTCCTTAAGATTCTTTCGCTGTTGCTGAGGCCCCGTGGGCTACTTGTACTTACTTCTTCTTAGGCCAAAAGGGGTGTGAGTAATTTATCATTAGTCCTTAGTCACAATGACAGCAGAGTTCAAAGATATGAAAATAACAGATACTTAATTTTTAGGCTTGCATTTCTATTCAGAAATGATTCTAAATATTGAATGACTTCTACAGAACAGTGTTTTAGGTGTTGTTTTGTTTTGTTTTGTGTTTTTGCCTGTGCTACTTATTTTACTGAAGTGCTTCTAATTTAGCCTTATCCAGGTAGAGGAAATAATGATGGGCAAGACCTGGATTTAAAGAATTGATGAACTTTTAGAGTTGGTAATGGATTTGGTGGATTAGATTTGTAAGAAGTGTTTTCTCAAGAATATCCTCAATACCAGACAGCCAATGGGGCAGGGGGGGCACTTCAGAAGCATCTTGGGTATCAGATAGGAGAAAGTGCAGGCCCTCTGAAGACACACTGGCCAGCTGGCCTTTGGACAGAGGTAGGCATACTACAGTGTAATATATCATTATCTTGGCATTCAGTATAGGAACTTATGCATATTTCAGGTGATAGTTGTGATTGAAACTCATTTCTCTTCAAGTACAGCTACAGTCATATTGTGAATACTATTCAAGGGAAAAGAGAATTTTTATGAGTACCATACTCCATATATAAAATAGCCTTTCTGGCTAGCTGCATGGTTGAAAGTACACACTCCCAGTACTGGTTAAAAAAAAAAAGAAGAAACTTTCTTATCATGGACAAGGTACATGAGAGTAATATATCTATATTAGAGTTATGATTTGAAAAAATATTTTCTTGATTGTTGTATTTTCAAAGTTACTTTTTCATCATTCCAGTTGTTATTTTAACATGTGATTCTGAGAATGTTCTAAACATTGGCAAAATCTAAGTTAATAACTTAGTATTCTTGATCAAATAGTACTGAGATGTTAACAAATGCATTAAGAATTACAATAAAGATTCAAATTGATAGAAAAAAATTGAGTATTTTATTCTCATATTCCAATTTTTTATTTCATTAATGTTTGATTATAAAACAAAATGTACTGCATTGGATTTTTCTTAATATTTTGCTTCTTTTTCTGTATTTTCAATTTTCCTAGAGTGTATACTTAGTTTATTAATGGCAGAGATTTTGAATTTCTACTAGTATCATTTAGCTCTATACTTTTCCATCTAAGCAATACTTTAAAATGTTCTATAAAATTTAATACAGTGTATTTTGTTTTTTTTAAAAAAATCACTAAGGATTTTATTTTACTCATAGATTATTAAGAAACATGCTATTTCTGTTCAAGTACTTGGAGATCTTTGAATTATTGTAGTCTATTTTAATATCAACAGGGCACCTAAAATCTAAAACAACACATTGTAGAAGTTGTATAGCACTTACTATTTCTATTAGAATATTAGAATACGACCTAAATTTAATAATTGAAGATTTAACCTCAATAAATTAAGAAAGCATAATGATGTGAAGCAAATTAAGCAGAAGGAAAAATTAAAAAGCAGAAATAATTGATATTTTATAAACAGAAAGACAAAAACCTTGTCATATGTAAACTTCAAAACATTATATATTTTTTGAAGACTGAAAAGAAAATAGAGACAAGTCACAACTAGAATACCTCAGAAATAAAGGGACGTATCCATATCAGAATCCAGAGTCATTGTGAAGGGAATATTAAAGAGTATCTGTGACAAAACAAAGATATACCAGTTAGATAAAACTGATTATTTCAAATTCATCAACTATTATCCTTTCTGAAAATAAAATGGATAATTTCGGTAGTGCCCATATTAGAAAGACTGAGTTTGTAAACAACATCATGAAGTCCAAAATTCCAGGGGTTGCATGGAATTGGTGTAGCTGACAGAACTAGAATAGACGCTGAATATTTAGTTAGTTGCATACCAATGGGGCCTGACATTCAGGTTCCAGCTGGGACTTGTGCTTATCTAAGCTGCTCTGGGCAGCAAAGACAAAAGGCACCAAGACATCCTGTGTTTATTCTTTACAAACATGGGAAAGAAGGGAGCAGGGTGTGCTTCCTGGTGATAGTCAGTATTGAAGGCAGGGCTGTAAAAGGGAGGCACTAACATATCTTGCTGAAGAGAACAGACAGGTAATTCAGAGGAAAGGAATTTAGTTGGAGTCAGGCTGACCTTGGCTGGAAGTGAACTCAGCAGGGCCCTGATGCTTCATAGACCAAGACTTGAGTCTATTCAGCTATGTGACTTGCCCATTTGAGCCACATAAAGCTTTGGTCAGCACCTAATATAATACAGCTGAATTATGGAGAGGCAAGAAGCTTGTGGCACTCACAGCCTGCTAATCCTGGGGCAGAGATGTCTGCTACAGAGCCATTTCCATGGTGCTATGTGATGTGCAAGAATCACCACAGATCAGAAGCTGGCAACATCATGACTTCTGGGGCTATCCCTATAGGAGACTGGAGAAGAGTGTACATCCAGGGGCAGAACCCTCAGCAGTGCACTTGGAAAGGGAAATAGCCAGAGAGGAGGTCGCAGATCCATCCATTGGCGGAAGCTAATGAATTGACTAAACATTAAGGATTGGAAAGATTATGGTGGAAAGTTGATCACAGAAATGTCTCTGGAAGAGAAATGTGACTAGGTCTTGTGTAATTCTCACAGAAATTGGAGGCACGTATTTCCCATGTCAGTGGTTCCCATGTGAATGTGACCTCAGAAGAGGAGGTCTGTAATGATACAGGGGAGAAGTGACCTATCCTGTAGCTGCCCTTCAGTCTCCTGCTACCACCATCACAGTCTGATGGGCTCATGGACCAAGAGACCATGCTGATACAGTGGGAGGCTATGCAGGGGCTCAGCACATGAACTACCAATCTTCACCCTCTGTCTGAGTAGAGCCAGTGAAGAGTAGCCCATCTGTCAGGACCATGTGTGATACTACCCAGAATTCTTCCCATGGCAGTTCTTCCTGAGGTGGTCAGCCAGCTGTCTCATGGCAGTTTGGCTGCATTTGATGTATATCACCACACTGGACCAACGTGTTATTCTTACTAGAGTCATCATTGCTCCCACCAAACTGGCTTCTCTCAATTTTTCTTTTGCTACTTTTGAAAAGAGGGACAAGGAGAAAAACAAATAAATAAAACTTCCATTACCCCTTTCTACTTCCAGTAGATTGGAGTTCCTCACCTGCCTGAAAATTAGTTTGAAAGTGTTCTACTATATTTTTCTTCCTTTTATTCTCCTATTAAAAACAACTTCCAGTAGATTTGTAGTAACTTCTGATTGTTGCACTCTCCAAGATCCATAGTGATTTTCTGAGGTACCTCCAGATAAATGTGATTTTGATCTGGACATGTTGACTTTGATACACATGAAATAAGCTCTTTTTAAGTACATTTTTCTATTTAATTTGGCACTGGTGACTGAAAATAGTGTTTTCCTGCTAAGCTAACTCCCTTTCCAATGCATAATCTTACTATATCACTGTGTTCCCAAGTCTGGACTCAAAATTGTAATTCTTCTGCCTCAGTCTCTCAGAGTGTTTGGATTAGAGTCTGATATCACTATGCCTGGCTCTATATACATACTTTTAGAAATATTTATTCTAAGAAATTCTGTGACACACCACATAGTAATAATTAATTTTATGTATGTATTAAACATCAATGATATTCGCTGCTCTTGTTGTACCAGCCTACTTTCAAAACTATGTACTCCAAAATATTGATCTTTAGCTAAGAATTAACTTCTTAGATTGGTTACTTTTAGAACAAAATATATCTGTATGTGTTTCATTTACTATTTTTCACCTATATTCCTTTTAGAAAGATTGCACATATGTATGGGAATGAATTATATGACTTGTAATATACATAATAACCATCTCTAATGAATCAGTTGCATCATCAGTGCCAATAGTTCTTTTGATAATGGTTATTTCACAAAACAATTATAGAATTATGAATGGAATGATTTATGATTTGGTGACACTTTCATAATTCTCATAGGAGATGTATCTCTTAAGCTTATAAAGTTTAATATGGAAAAACTGATCACTGTAAAGAGAGATAAGACAAAGAACAGAAGATAGATATCTTTTGAAATTTTATTATATATACACAAAATGCAAGTCCTCAAAATTCATGTTTTCTTCAAACAAATTATTTATATATTAATCTCCTCAGTGCCATTATGACATCTTTATTCCTTAGACTATAAATCATGGGGTTAAACATGGGAGTTGCAATAGTATAGAAAACAGAAAGCACTTTGTCAGTTCCTGAGGATTGAGTGGACTTCGGTCTTAAATATGTAACAATGGCTGATCCAAAGAATAAGACCACAACTGCAAGATGAGAGGAACAGGTGGAGAAGGCTTTTGACTGACCTGTGGCTGATGGCAACTTCAGGACCGTGGAGATGATTTTGCTGTAGGAGATAAGGATTAGCAGAAATGGAAGGGAGACAAACAACACAGCAACTATGTAGACTATCAAGTGATTCACGAAGGTTTCCCCACAGGCCAGCTGAAGCAGTGGGAGAATGTCACAGAAGAAGTGGTTGATGTGGTTGGAACCACAGAAGGAGAGAGAGAAAACCAGCAATGTCTGCCCTACCTGGACCGGAATGCCACTGACCCAGGATCCCATGACCAGCTTGGTGCAGGCCTTGTGGTTCATGACTAGAGGGTAGTGTAGAGGGCTGCAGATGGCCACATAGCGGTCGTAAGCCATCACAGCCAGCAGGAAACACTCAATGGCTCCCAGTATAAGGACCCAGCACATCTGCGCAGCACAGGCAACAAAACAGATGGTTCTTCTCTGGGTCGCAAGGTTCATGAGCATTCTGGGGAGAGTCACTGACACATAACAGATTTCCAAAAAGGAGAAATTGCCAAGGAAAAAGTACATGGGGGTCTGGAGAGAAGGGTCCACTTTCGTTATTAGTATTATGGTGCCATTGCCCAACAACACAGTGACATAGATGACGAAGAACAATCCAAACAGAAACCACTGGAGGTGGGGAACATCGCTGAATCCCAAAAGAACAAATTCTGTCCATTCAGTGAGATTTTCTTGTGGTGGGTTTCCTGGGCTTTTCATCTAGGAAGGGGATAAACTCAGTATATGTTTCTTTTTATTTTTACTAGTGAAATAGATTCCTATTGTCTAACTGAATGAGCTCACTCTCCTCATTTTTATCATCTTTATCATTTTTATCACTGTAAGAACTTTACTATTCTCATTCAACACACTTTGCTAATTCACATAATGCTGATTAACACTCTGTGCATTTTCTTGAAATTTCTTCTGAATCATTTAGTTTGCCTTCTGAGTGACTCAGGACACACCAAACCATGGTGTAAGCAACACAGACAGTGAAAATAAGGGCAAATAAAGATAAGTCCACAGGTTTGTCACGTCATATCAATTTTAACTTATTTTACTTTTTGAAATTGTATATTAATTCTCCATGAATTCTAATTACTGTGCTCTACTAGCATTATGTCATGGAATGTTTTCTCCTGTACATTTTTACTTTTCTTAAAGTTCATATAAAACAATATAAAATTGTATATAGTAAATAAGAATGTTGTCATATTTTAGTGCATGCATATGTTGCATGATTGTAAATGTAGACATGTTTATTTCCTAAAATTTTACTATTTAGTTGTGGTGTAAACTTTCAAAATCCTTTTAGTTTTGTGAAAAAAACATTTTCTTTGCTTCTTTCAACTCTTCATTTCCTCTCATTAGTTGATATGAGCACAATTTTCTTTATCATACAATTCATAATCACAGATAATTCAAACATATTGAAAAAATTAAAAAATAATTTTGACAAAATTAAGTCTTTGGTCTCATAATATGTAGGACATATAAAAGGGCATTTTCAGTAAGAACAACCTGGAAATATGGATCCAGATGGAAACAATGAAGAGCATGATCAGACGGGACTAAGAGGCCCACTGAGGCAGGTGATGATGGAGGTGTGAGCGTGGGCAGGTGGACAGAAAGATGCTGGCTGTCGTGTTAAGCTCTGTGATGTGTATGCCACAAACTTTGTTTCTCCTCATCATCAGCTCTCCGGGTAAACAATTATAAACTCACTCTTTGTTGGAAATAAAGACATTGATGCTAACAATGAATAATTTAGCAAATGCTCATAGGTTTATGATTAAAAATAAGACAAATTATTCTTTATTTATTTGAGTATGAAACTTAACTCTTTCTGTATTTGTAAAAAAAGAAAAAGAAAAAAATATTTTACCTTTCTTGTTTTTGTTATTTGTCACAATTAAATGACATGTTTTATGAAAATGTCATTGAGCAATATGGAAGTGATTATTATTGATGGCTTTATATTGTAATTATGTGCACTACATAGGAAAGAAAGTCATTAGTCCCCAGGGATGTGCTTCATTGCTTAGAAAAAACTTACTTAGTATTATTATTGTGTTGCACTTTGGGCAGTTAATTTTTCTATACTTACTCTTTACTAGGGATAGGACTCTGGTTACTTTAGTACAAAAGGAAAAATAAGGAAATGAAGAATCCTGGTGCAGGTTTTTACTTGCACAATCCTGAGAGCGACTGCCTTCTTAGGTTCTGTGCTCTGCCAAGATGTCTCTGGCTCATGCTTGATCTCAGCCTGCACTTTTTTCCTCCACCCTGGCTTTGCCCATGAAACGCAGAGTGATCGTACGGCACTGGGTGACAGGACAATCTTACAGAGATATCCCAGAATCTGAGTGTTGCTTCCATTCACAGGAATTGCTACATGCCCCAGTTCCATAGTTCAGTTAGCTACAAAGTAAGTTAATGATTACACAACATTCAGGATAATTTATGTGAATTAATGATGATATATGTGAAACAACTTGATGACATTGTGACTTTTATAGAAACATTAAATATTAGTTATTTTATTAAAAAGTAGCTTTCATTTTTTCTGAATTTTCTCACTGTCTTAGGCTAAATGAAAAATTATTCTGTAAGTTAATTTCCCTTTCCATGATGTATTTTTTGTGGGAATATAGTGAGATTTTAGTTAAATCATCAAAACTCTCAAGAAAATCCCAAATTATCAAGATGATAGATCCATGATATTTTTATTCTTTTTTACATTAATTCTCTTGCTTTTGTGGTCCTCATACCAACAGTGCAAGTCACTGTCCAGCACATTGCATTGAAATTTGACCTATTTCTGTATGTTTTTATTTTACTAACACTAGATTATCTCAGAGGTGAGGGTCATAAGATTTTATTACACTAGAGATGTGTAGGACATAGGTCCTAGAAAATGCTTGCAAACCTTACATGGCACTCTGTATTTGCTTCAGTAATGAGGTGGAGTCGCTATTTAAATGAAACAATCAGTTTTGGGAGGGATAAAATGATTTATGCAGTGGAGAACAAAAATTCACTTTTTATGGTTCACTTTTGTGATGGAACTTCGTAGCATAAATAATTTTATTGCTATTATAATAATGTTTGGGACTAATAAAATGTATTTTAAAATTGTTGACCATCAAATTTTGGTGATGAATTACTAATAAATATCATGAAACACATACCATTTTTGCATTTTTTACTGAATAGGATAAGAAATTAGAGGGAATAGAAATTGACAGTATGTTCTCAGAAAATTATCTACATTACTCTTCCTTTTTAGATTATAATTTATTATTAATAATTGACAATACTTAGTATTCTAACACTTTCATTTTAATTCAAGCCTCCACTCCCCCAATCCAAACACTGAAGAGATTGTGTACTAATAGCATAATTCAGACAAACACTAGAAGGTACTAGTTTCACTTCTTCTTATATTTCCATTACTTTAACAACTTAAAGCCTCAAGTAAGTTTAAATAATGATTTTAAACTTAAAGCTTTATATTGTTTCACAAATGTCTCCTATAAAATTATTATTTGTCTTTAAAATATATTCCTTATAAAAACTCACAAAGGGTTGTAAAATTACTTCATGGATTGTTTCATTTCAAAAGTCTTATTAAAAATAAACAGAACTGAATAGATCAATGACATTTGTTACAAAATATTGTCTCAAAATAGATTTTTCTATGCTTAATAAATACATCAGTTCATAGTTTTCTGTACTTAAGTGTTTAAATATCAGTAGTTTTTATTATAAAGTTTTAAATTTGTGTAATAAAAATACAAGTGAACTTCTTTAATAAATAAAAGCATTTCCTGTTATGTCTTAACTATTAACTTTTAATTTAAATATATTATCAATTAAATCTAGACATAATTATAAAGTAATTCATAATTACCTTTTGTTTATGGACTGATCCTGATTTTAATCTCACTGTAAGCCTTTAAGTATTTAAATATTTTAATGACTTTAGGTTAAGCCCCATGGTTCAGCAACAATATCCAATGTACTTTAAAGATTCTCACACACAGTGCTCTTTAAGTATAAGCAGTCTGTCCACCACCGGGGACTTCTCCCACTAGCATTGAAGTTACTAATTAAAGGCATCTGTCTATCATCTACTGACTTGCTTTATTTAGTTCATCAAGCTGACTCTCACTGCTCAGAATACACCCACTTCATGGTCCCCGTCAGACAAAGTGCACCGTACCTCTTCTTTCTTAGACACGAACACAGTGTGAGATGGTTCCAAGTGGACAGACAACCAATTAATACTGTAACTACTATGAATGGTCCACGTGGAGCTTCCGTTTCTATTGGACTGGGCATTTAAACAGGTCTCTTTCAACATTTCCTTCTCTATCCTGGGTTCCCTGATACATATTCATGGCGAGCCTGTGTTGTAGCTGTCTTAAAATGCAACAGTGAAGTTCACCAAGGAAACTGAGAGTCTGGAGTAAATCCAAGCCAGATCTTGAGAAAGACAACTGGGAAAGACTCTGTCCCTTCCAGACTTCAAATCTGTAACTAGCAACTTTGCCATCACTTAGGCAGTTTAAAAATGTTCACTTGAAGCCAAATTTCTCCTGCCATTCATTGAATAATGTTTCTCACATTTAATTAACTAGTGACTTCTAATGGTTTGAATTATGAATGGAAACTATTTCCATGAGATGAACCCCCATTCACTGTGATTGTCCAGAGCACATAGGACAGTTTAAGGGTCATGGCCCAGAGTTGGTGGAAGGGAAAAAGAAGCAGGGAGAGGGGTCTGCCACGGGAACAGAGGGTAGTAAGATGCCACCAGAAGTGAGCAACTACAGATGCATACAGGAGAGGCAGCTAGGCTGAGGAAACATCTGAACTTCACTGTAAGTTTGGTGTTGACATGGTAGGAAGATGTTCTGGTCATGTAGAATATGACACCCGGAAAAGACTCAAAATAATTGTGTATTGTGTAATAAAGACAGTATACCCAGTTCATGAAACTTGACTACAAAAACTGTGTACACTTTGAAGAAAGCACAAATTCTTTCAAGTGTTAATAATAACAAATGAAGAACATTCGATGAGACAATAAATAGCTTGCAGAGGAAAATAATGAAATCCTTCTAAAGATGAAATTTTAGACATTTGGTGCACAAAAGTTAATCACAGACTGAACATTTAGGCTGGAAACTACACACACACACAAGCACACACATGCATGCGCACATACAAGCACACACACATGCACACACAGAGCTATTTCAAATTAACTAATCTGGCATGATTAAAACAAACAGTTCCCCCAAAGTAAAATTAAAAAACATTGATAAATTAAAAAATACAAATGACATCTTAAAGTGTTATTTGATCTCATGAGTGGTGTTTTACATATCAAGAAAAATTAAATACAAATAATAAAATAGACCAAACAAATTCAAAAAGTTCATGGAGAAAGAGGGAAAGTCATCATTTCAACAGAGGGAGGTTATGCAACTTCCATCATACATAACAACAGTCTTTATAACAAGACCATTGACTTAGATCTTTAAAATCTCAGACTTTCATGTGCCTATATGCATTTTTGCATATGAATAGAGGTCTGGGTTTGTTGACTAATGCCATATTTTATTTATCTCTTGAAGCAACCTATAAATTTTGCTTTAGTGTGGATTTTTGCAGTAACATGAAACTGTAATGTTGTTTAACCTGCAAGA